TTTTTTTGGGGGTGCCAGGCGCGCCATCTGGTTTTTGCCGTCGTGATTTGTGTTTTCTACATGTGCTGGTGGTGGTTGCGCTTTTGTTTGCGGCACAGCGCGTTGCGCTCTGGCTTTGGGCCTCTGCCTCCCATTGGTTGGGCTGGGGTGGCCGCCTTGGGCGGGGTTTTAGGCCAAGATGCCTTTGGTAATAAGTGCCTCCGCAACACGGTGCCAAGGTGGGGTTGATGAATTTATTCAAAGAAACTAAATGCACTCACTAAATGTTTGAAGTGGGTGGTATCCTTAAAAACCAAATTCTTTTTATTTTTTTCAATATACGCGTTCTTTGGAATGCCGTTCCCCTTGGTGGCGTTTGGCCATCGAAAATTGGAGCCAACGCCCATTATCCCCTATTATTTTGAGGGGAAGTCATGGGCCAGCAAATTCCCTTCTTGAGAGTTTGCGGGTTCACAAGCTACAAACGTCATACGGCACCTGGGCCAGCAGGGCCATGCTCGAACAAAACTTTGTCCAAGAAGGTCCCGGGACGCGACGCCGTTCCAACGCCGCAGCGGTGAGAAAGCATGGCAAAAAAACCAAGAAAAAAAAAACCACAGACCGGCAACAATCACAGGCCCCCGCCTGTTCTATTGAGGCATACGGCGGCATTCGCCGGTAGGGCTGCAGCGCGCCGCAAGGTCGCCGCTCCCCGGCTGCTCACCGCCCCAAAGGCAAAAAGAGCCAAACCCCGCAACAACACGGCAGCAGCACCAACACATACGCGCCAAACCCGCCTCGCACCGCAAAACAACGGCCCCAGCAACGCCCCCAAAGAGGGGGCATGGGCAATGAGGATGGGGTTTGCCACGCCCCTTTTCGCCCATCCATTCCCGCCCCCAACCGGCAGTAGGGCACCCCGCATGGAGTACAACCTCGATTTCCTGCGGCGCTTTGTGCCGCCTAGGATGCTCTAAAGGAAGGATAAATCAAAGAAAAAGAAAGAAAAGTCACTCCACACATCCCGAACGGGAATCATCCAACCACTTGGGGTACAAAACAGCCAAAATGACCACAATAATAAGAGTAAAGTTCCAAAAACAAGAAAAAAAGTAGAAGATTGTTATTCACAATCTTCGAGAAAAAAAAAGCCCAAAAAGAAAAAAAAATGTTAGAGTATAGAATAAAAACGCCTCAGAAAGCACCCCGGCGCAAATTCCGTTCTCAGTTCCATTTACGTATTATATTAAAAAGAAAAAAAAAAGTACATACGTCTTACCAAACGCAAAGGATATATAATGACATGCGTGGAAGAATCATATGCTGTGAGCAAGTGTTTGTTATGGATGCATCGGGTGGCAGCCCGTGCGTTCATGGAACCAGCAGCACAGAAGCCATAGCGGCAACACAGGCAAGAGAAGTCCAGAACAGAGGTGTCACCATACTGGCATCAATGCTTGCGTTGATCAGGTTTATGCTGATGCCATTTATGTTGTTGTTTCCAGCTGCAACGTCGTTGATATTCGTATTTATGTTGTCCTGGATGGGATTGGAGCTGCCGTCGTCATTGGCGTTTCTTCTTACACGGCTGTTGGTATTCGTATTTTTATCGTCCTCTGTGGTAATGGTGCTGCCGTTCTCTTCGGTGTTTCCTCTTTCACCATCGCTGGTATTCTTATTTCCGCTCTCTTGGGTGGTAATGGTGCTGCCGTTTTCTTCGGTGTTTCCTCTTTCACCATCGCTGGTATTCGTATTTGCGCCGTCTTGGGTGGTAATGGTGCCGCTGTTGTCATTGCCCTCCACCTTTTCACCGATGGTATTCGAATTTCTGCTTTCCTGTGGGGTCATGGAGCTGCCATTGTTTTCGTTGTTGTCTCTTTCACCGTTCTTGGGTTCGGTACTTGTGCTCTCTTTTTGTCGGTTACCACTTGAAGTGCCAGAGTTGACGGCCAAAGTACCGTCTTTGCCAGTGCTCCCATCATTGGGAGTTTTGCGAACCTCACCAACAATGACAGGACTAGCATCTGCAATTGGTGCAATGTCGTCATTTTCGTCTTCCAAGACAACATCCGTTTCCTTCTCGATTGGGAGCACAGCACCTTTGAGACTCGTGCAAACTTCCTCCTTCGGTGGGCACACAATACTGCCGCTGCTGAACACACCTTTTTGTGCAAGTTCAAGGGATTGGCCCGCTGGGCACAGGTGCCACGTTTCGTCGCCTTTGTACTGCACGTACACCTGGTCATTCTCACACTTCACATTCGCACACACATCACCAACGGCACGCCCAGCACTCACACCATCCTTCAACACAATGTCCTTCCCATTGAGGCAGCGTGATGTCTCCCCCACGCGGCTCCCGGGCATGCTTTCCTCCTCACCATTAGTGCACACGGTTGCTGCAGTCGGTGCAATAATGGGACACCTGTCCGTCAGGGTATCCGCAGAGCCAGTTCTCTTATCGCCTTTCCCGAAGTAGCGGTACTCCCGTGGGGGCAGACCCTCATAGGTCGTCAGTGAACATTTTCCGAGAGCAAAGCGGTCAGACGTGCACTTGAGTGTCTCGGAAGTGCTGTTGCAGAACATACTGGGGTACTTGCTCTTTTTCTTCTGAACGCACGGGAGATGCTGGAATTTACAGCCAGCGTCTTTGCCCCAGCTCATCGTTTCCTCCTTTCCCCAATTAGCACGGAAATATTTCATGTCCTCAAATGCTGCCATCGTGAACGCTGTGTACAACATGGCGCCAGGAAGATTCAAGTACACACTCATCAGTTCATCCTTGGCGTCACGACGCTCCCAGTGAGACACCATCGTCCACCTGTTTTCTCCCGCGTCATCTTCCTCCAAGTTCACACCCGTATAATTGTCGCATTTGTAGTGCCACTGCGATACATTCCTTGTCATTTTGGAGTTCACCTGCTGTTTCATCCTCAATGTAGAAAGATAGACAAAGTCAGTCATCTTTAGTTTTTGCATCCGACTGAAAGAAAATCCAAGGGCATGTGCAATCTCGTGCGCTGCAATGCGGACGGCGTACCTTGTGGGGAGGATCCGAGCAGGTTCAAAATTCATCACTGCACTGAACGGTCGATGTTCAATGCTCTCCTCAGAGCAGATGGCTGTGAAGGTGGCGCCTGGGCCGGCAGCCACGTACAGTACAAAGTCTTTACCGATCAAACCATTGGTCTTGTGTTTCTCCGGCACGGTGAAGTGTGTGCAGACGCCGTCGCGGGGCACCGACACCACCACTGGTCCCGGCACTGGCTTGACAAGGAGACGGTCGGCGTGCAGTTTGATGGCCTCAGGGAGAATTGTCTTGAGGAGGATTTTCTGCTTCTCCACCGTGATGACGTCCTCTTGTTTGCACACAACCAACTCACCACGGAAGTTAGGACGTTTTTCACCAGCTGCCTTGCAGTACATCGACTCATTCTTCAGGTCCCTCGCTGACACCTTTATGCGGATAGGCGCCCAGTCTCTGTCATTCAAAAGATATGCCGTCGCTTCCAAACGACTCTCACCCGGTTTCGGAACCTGGTACACAACGGATTCAACCACACCTTTATTCTCTTCTTTCACGGCCAGGTTATCAAACATGCATTTGTCCCCACGGAACGCAAGGCATCCGTAAGAGCCCAGCAAAAGGAGGAGGAGGAACAGTACTGCGCCATGCAGCTGGGGTTGGCGGGCCATGGTGCGCTTGTTTATTTATCCCTCCTTGTGTGTTTGTGTGGTATCGTTCTATCAAGAAATAAGAAGAGTGGGAGTGAAAACACAATGAAAGAGAGCACAGCAATCCAATCAAAAAGGAGTGAGAGAGGGGCAGCCCCACCCATCACCCACCGACAAGATATGCGGACCTATACACAGACTAGCAACAATCACAGGCACTCGCCTGTTCTATTGAGACATACGGCAGCATTTGCCGGTAGGGCTGCAGTGTGCCGCAAGGTTGCCGCTCCCCGGCTGCTCACCGCCCCACAGGAAAAAAGAGCCAAACCCCACAACAACACGGCAGCAGCACCAACACACACACACACACCCCTACCCACAGAGATGGGTAAGCCAGCAGATGCAGCGCGCCCCGTCCACATCACTGTTATTCTTTTTTTTTTCCCTGTGTTGTCGCGTTTGCATGCGAACGAACAGGATTAGAGTTTATGTTGTATGAAGCTTATGGTACTTTGTGCTTTTCATAACTGAATCTAATTGATACGTTGTGTATCCACAGTCCATTCCCTATACATAGAAGTGGTTCTTTTGTAGAGGACTTATTTCGATCTGGATGTGTTTCATTTGAACCTAAATAGGATTGTGTATGTATTTATTTTTAATATGGTATAATAAAAAGAAAAGGGATAATATATGTGTTTATGGATGCAAATAGATCGATAGATAGATATAGTGGAGTCGTGTTGCTGTTTACAATTATAAAAATAAAGAAAAAAAAAAAGTGATCACGTTTCTCAAAGATAATGTTTTTATTATTATTATTATTCCTTTTTGCGTTTTGTTTTTATTTCTTCTCTGTTTCAAGTGCAAAGCCTGTGGGAGAGGAAAATGCTTGGAAAAAGAATTGTTATTGTGTGTGTGTGTGTGTGCAAGTTATTTTTGGTTTTCCCTCTTGACGAACAGTTCTGTCTTGTCTTTTCATTCTAGTCAAGGGCGAACACACACACACAAAAAAAAAAAATACATACACAGGCAGATTGGTATACTTGGTACACCTCGTCTACGCATGGTTTACGGGTGGAAGATTCTACGAGAAAAAAAAAATACTTAATCAACCAACATCAACCACATATTAATAAATCTATTATTCTATTATGTTGCCGAATTTTTTTATTTTTTATTTTGCGCCTATCGAATGTTGGGAAATGGGGATTTTTCTCCCCTCGCCTCTCCTGTCTCTGAGAAACTCAATGCCAAAGGAAAAGAGTTAAATCAAGAGAGGAAGAATTAAGTAAAACAAATAAGTTAATGGAAGAAAACAAAACAAAACAAAAAGATTACCCAATGTTTTCTTACTTTTTTCTTTTTGTATTACGATTATTTCCAAATTCCAAACAATTACATATATATATTTCTTCTTTTCCTTCATACAGAAAGGGTAATGGCATCCAAGTACATCAACCCCTACTCACTAGATCTACATTTCGATATACAAATCCGCATTCGCTGGACTACGTGAAAGGTATTTTCAATCACCAAAGCCCATTGCCAGACGGTGGAAAAGACAAGAAGAATAAGCGGCCAGCGTAGATAAGTCTCCGCTTCGAGGAAATGCCGCATATCGGTTCCAAGCATATAATCCACAAGTTGCCCTGTTTGAAGAAAACCAGCAAAACATGCCACCAATAAAGCATCCGATGCACTCCATGATGATAAGAAAAACATATTTGGATACACAATGACGTATAATAACGGAACTATTCCTATAGTAAAGATGCATGTTATCAAGAAAAGGAAATTTGTTGCGGCAATAGAAGAAAGTGATACCTCCAAATCATCTGGACGAACGAGAAACGCCAATCCTCCTAGTCGGTACCCAATGCATGGGACCACCCAAGCGGGAAGAGTACAGGCGAGGATAAAAGCACCATTCAATATAGCCAATATCACACGTTTTTTTCTCCATTCAGTTATCTTTAGATTTTTACTATCCTCAACATTGTTTTTACCAAGAGAATCACCGATGATACCAGATTCTGCTGGTTCTCGTTCAACATTTATTCGACGTAATGAAGTATTACGACGCCAAATAATTGTAGCATAATTACCCACAAACATCGAAAGAAGTGTTGATGAGAGGAAGACATAAAAACCAGATAGAAATTGTAGTTCAGCAATACCTTGTAGTTCTAATCCAACCGTCATCACGACGAAAGCAAAGGAATCAAGAAGTGAAAACTTTCCAATATAGTTAATTGTTTTCAGTAAAAGCATCTCTGGTTTTTGTAAAACAAGAGTACAGACAACAATTGCGATTAATTTAACATACGGGTACACTCCACTGAAAATGAACGTTAGAATAGAAAAAAAATGCATTCCAGATTTATACATTTTTTTCGTAGTATCAAATAATGTTAAGGATATTACGTGTAATTCACCACCAACTACAAGTGTAGAGATAGATGTGGCGATAGACCACGTAAATCCAAGAGTCGATATAACAGTTAAGAAAATTAAAATTGAATCCTCCAGTAGTACTCGTTTTAACGATATTGGAACACCTTCACAATTCACAACTTTAGTTCGATGATAATAATTATAGAAACTTAATCCAATACTAACAGCAGTAAAAAGCACAACTATAATAACTGTAGAAATTATGACTGCAGTAGAAGGTCTTCTCGTAATAGTTTCTTCATCAAGTACAGGAATGTAAAAGCGTGAATCATTCGTATTGTTTGTACTTACAACTTCATCAAAAATAGCATCTATTACCGGGGCCAAAAAGGGACCCAAAATACTTGTGATTAGACGATCCCACTCACCAAGATTTTGAGTTCGGATATTTCCAAAAGTGATACCACCAGAAAGTGGTACACTGCAATAGAAACCTTCTTCATCACACTGTAAATCATGAAAAAAGATTTCAAAAGATACATTAAAAGGGTTTGAAATATCCATTCCCAAAAAACCATCTTTAATCTCTGGAAGGTTTTTCAATAGAGAATCCAAAATATAACGAATATGAAATGCATTGAAAATACCTTTTATTTTTTCCATATACAAATCGTTTATAGTTGAATCATCAAAGATAAAATGTAAACCATTAGGAAAACCAATATCCAAATGCAATGTGTTTCCATCTTGTATAGATGCTCCAAAATCAATACCAAATACTACCGGAGCACTATTTAATACATTAACGAGAGCCCGTACCATTCGTGAATTCTCCAGGGTTGTAGCATTAGGGCTAAGCTGAGGGTGTGACATTGGTGGATCTATCGTGTGATTTTGCATCTCCTGCTGAATATATTCAATTCCTGAATTACATACGAGATCAGTTGCCTGTTTCTCAAGAGCTTTTTTCATATTATTTAGTAACCCCTGTAGAAACGGGTTAGGTGGTTCAAGTTTCAATTCACCAATTTTCGGCACAAACTCACACATCTCTACTCTACTGTTAGTACTAAAACAGGATTTATCCACAATTTTGGAGAGATTTACTTTTGCGGATTCAAGACGTATATTACTATGCAATATAGAGAGTTTATTACTCATATTAAGTGACATACTACACGAAATGTCTGAGGGATCTAATGTTGAAAAATCCCATGATGAGGCGTTAAAGTTTCCCTGTATTCCTCCAATATTTACACGAGAACATGACACATTACTTACCTCTGCGACACCAAGATCCATGTATACACCAGGTAACCGTGCACCAGTAAGGAGAAATGAACTCCACCACAGTACAACGGAGAGACAAGAAAGAATCATCTCCTTCGTGTAAATAAAAACAGAATAATAATAATGTTAAAAACGGAGTAAGAAAAATATATCTTACGTATTTACCAAAAAAAAAAAAAAAAAAAAAAAAAAAAANCAAACCCCGCAACAACACGGCAGCAGCACCAACACATACGTGCCAAACCCGCCCTGCACCGCAAAACAACGGCCCCAGCATCGCCCCCAAAGAGGGGGCATGGGCAACGAAAATGGGGTTTGCCACGCCTCTTTTCGCCCATCCATTCCCGCCCCCAACCGGCAGTAGGGCACCCCGCATGGAGTACAACCGCAATTTCCTGCGGCGCCTCGTGCCGCCTAGGATGCTCTAAAGGAAGAATAAATCAAAGAAAAAGAAAGAAAAGGTCACTCCACACATCCCGAACGGGAATCATCCAACCACTTGGGGTACACAATGACAAGAACTAAGACAATAACATGGCTACAAGGTGTGAAAGTAAAAAAAAAGAGATTTGAGAAACGAAAAAAGAAAATACACAGAAGCGTTATATCGTCTTGCAAAGGAAAATAAGACGAACACAAAAATAGTGAGAGAAGGGAACGAAGTTGAGATACAATTGTAAAAAGCTAAAAAAGAAAATCTGTTAAAAGGAAATCCAAAGACTTATTTCCATAAATAAACCGATTTTGCGGTGGGAATATGCCTCCTATTTCAGTCAAATCCTGCAAAACAAATAAAAAGAAATAAATGAAAAAAGTATTCTATAAAGTTCCAATTAATTCCAATACGAACTTTCCATGACAAAAAACGCAAAGAAAAAGGCATTTAATCTCAATTTCTCCATTCTGCCAGAAGAATTACCCGACAGGAATTACAAAGTGGAAGATTCTAAGGTCCCTTCTCCTCCAGACCCCTCCGCGTGGAGGGACTAGGGTGTGGGTGGGACGGAAAAGAAAAAAAAAAACCAAAAATCTATTCTTTTCTAATCGCTCAGCCACAGGCTCTTTTAGACTACGAAAAACGCAAGGAAAGAAAAAGATTACACAACTCCTCAAAAGCCTGGACTCCCATAGACCAAGTCCGGATGCATATTCTTTTTTCACAAACTCCCAAAACAATTACTTAATGTCTTTAATTGCTCTCTGATATTTATGTTCCATATATTATAAAAAAATAAAACGTTTTCAATTTTGAAGGGAAGTTAATGATCTACAAAATAACTCAATTACTCAAGGCGTAAAGATCATATACAACGTTGCAGCAACCAACAAGGTGGAAGCCCAACGACAAGGTGCTGTCATGCCGCCATAATAGGAGACATCTCTTCCTCCTCCAACCGCTGCACCATTATCCTCATGCGAAGAAGCAGACGCCGCGGAATTTTCACC